CCTTTTGGACTGATTGTTTTTGTATGGTAGCTATAGATGGTGGTTTTTTTGGATGGTGGCTATGGATGGGTGCTGATGCCTAGTGTGAACCAGGTCAGGGCACAGATGGACTTTTGGTGAAGTCCCTTTCCCTGAGAGCCCAGCGGGATCCCAGGCTCATCTTCTTGTTTATGTCATCCCCGAACATATGATAACTATTGGTAACTGGAAAAACCCCAAACACATCACCTGACCTATGGAGTGAGGGCTATTATGGTAAGAAAAGCCAAATGATGCTTCTGATCCTACTACCATCCTACCAAGACAGTAAACCAGAAGCAATAATAGACATCTGGTGGAATTTCTGAGATTACCACCCAAACCCCCCTTGAGATGTGGAGGGGTGTAGATTGTTATTCCACCTCCATTTGTTGCTTCTCTTTGGTTTGCAGCAGAAGGTCTGGGCAATGACAGCAAGTTATGACAAATGTGAAGTGGTGATGACAAATGTGAAGTGGTGATAGCAGCTGCTGTTCAGGATGTGGTTTCTCACAGACCCTGGATGTGCAGCCTCAGACCAAACAATTTACTTTTCTGTTTTTTGGCACAGATAATCATTTATGTTCACATTTCAGAGACAAGTTTCTGGCCACTTAACTTTCTGGCCACTTTTCTTGGTCTTCTCACTTGCTCTCTCCTATCATCTGCTCCAGAGAAACCCGATCATCTGATTGTCTCCAGGGAAACACACTGGGCCACCTCCTCAATGAATTTATGTGTATTAATCAGACACAGTGAGCAAGATGTAGCAAGCACTTTTGGTGATTCAGAATTGAGATGGTGACTGCAGGTGGAACAGAAGCAGTGCATCATCCAGCACCCATTTCACTGGTGTAAATGCTATAGCTCTGGGCACATCAGGCTCTTCCTTCCAAACTGAGAGACAATTTGCTACACCTTACTCAACCACTTGTAGAAAAGAGATATGTCTCTTAAAATTGGGGGAGGAGGAGTTGTGTGGGATTTAGTATATTTTAATGTGCTGCTCCTGTTCATTTGTGAAGGAACCTATAAGATGGTCTTCTTTATAAATCCTACAGCAGAAAAGGGCTTTCATAAAAGTTCAGGCTTGAAACCCAAGTGTCCTGAATCTCAGGCCATAGGATGCAACACATCATGCCATTAAAAGTTTCTTTGACAAGGGACTTCTGGCCAAGATGGAGGCATAGGTGGAGACACTGTGCCTCCTCGCACAACCATGTCCTTAATGTTGTCCATTAAGGACAACAAAGATTTAGAAACAAAAACACAATGAGAACAGAGAGAAAATGTAACTGTACCAAAGTCCAACAACAATGAACCATTCATCCAGACCAGTAAGAGGGGTGGTAGTTAGCAGAACCAGATGCAGGGACAAATAGAGCAAACCCAGTGAGACACATAAGGCAGTTGGCTGACCACAGACACACATTCATGTGCAGATTAACCAGGCAAAAAATATGGGCAATGAGACAGACTGTGCAACCCAAGGCCCCAGTGACAGGAAATAAAGCCTAAAAGCACTGGTTGAAAAAACATTCGGGAATCAAGGTGCCGGGAGAGGCTCCCAACCTCACAGGGAGTGTTCACTGGAGAGACCCACAGGGTCCTAGAACATACATAAGCCCACCCACCTGGAAACCAGCACCAGAAGGGCCCAATTTGCTTGTGAGAAGTGGCAGAGGGGACTGAAATTTGAGAGAGCATGGAACAAACACCATTGCTCCCTCTCTGACCCCTTCCCCACATACAGCATCACAACCCAGCCACTGGGTTGCCCTGCCCTGGTGAACACCTAAGCAAAAATGGGCAGCAAGACAGACCCCATAACCCAGGGCCCTGGTGACAGAAAATAAAGCGTAAAAGCACCAATTGAAAAGGTGCCAGCTTTGTGGAAAGCAGCAGAGGGGACTGAAATCCAAGAGAGTGCAAAACAAGTGCCATCACTTCCTCTCTGACCCCGCCCCAACATGCAGTGTCACAACCCATTGACGGGTTGCCCCACCCTGGTGAACACTTAAGGCTCAGCCCCTCATACGTAACAGGTGCAAACAGACCAAAACATTACGGCTCAAGAAGAACAGCTCAAAACCCCAGAGCCAATACTTCTAAGTGACCAAGAGATAGCCAACCTATCAGATGCACAGTTCAAAACACTGGTGATCAGGATGCTCATAGAACTGGTTGACTTTAGTCACAAATTAGATTAAAAAATGAAGGCTAAACTAAGTGAAATGAAAAGAAATGGACAGAAAACCAATAGTGATGGGAAGGAAACTGGGACTCAAATCAATGGAGTGGACAGAGGAAGAAAGAAACAACCAAACAGAAAACGATGAAGAAACAAGAATTCAAAAAAATGAAGAGAGGCTTAGGAACCTCCAGGACATCTTTAAACATTCCAACATCCAAATTATAGGGGTGCCAGAAAGGGAAGAGGAAGAGCAACAAGTGGAAAACTTAGTTGAACAAATAATAAAGGAGAACTTCCCCATTCTGGCAAAGGAAATAGACTTTCAGGAAGTCCAGGAAGCTCAGAGAGTCCCAAAGAAGTTGGGCCCAAGGAGGAACACACCAAGGCACATTGTAATTACATTAGCCAAAATTAAAATGAAGGAGGTAATTCTAGAAGCAGCAAGAGATAAGGGGACAGTCACCTACAATGGAGTTCCCATGAGACTATCAGCTGATTTCTCAAAACAGACCTTATAGGCAAGAAATGGCCAGAAAGAAGTATTCCAAGTCATGAAATGCAAGGACCTACATCCAAGATTATTCTATCCAGCAAAACTTTCATTTAGAATGGAAGGGCAGATAAAGTGCTTTCATATAAGGTTAAGTTGAAGGAGTTCATCATCACCAAGTTTTTACTAAATGAAATGTTAAAGGGACTTATCTAAAAAAAAAGAAAATAAGAAATATGAACTGTGAAAGGACAGCAAACTTACAGTTATTAACAACCACACCTAAAACAAAAGCAAACTAAGAGGACACCTAAAACAGGAGCGAAGCCACAGAAATGGAGATCATATGAAACGTTAGCAACAGGGGAGTGGGAGGAGGAGCTGGGGGAGAAGGTATGGAGAATAAGTATCATAGTCAGTGAGGAGAAAACAGGAGGAGGTCAAGAGTAGTATGGGAAATGAAGAAGCTAAATAACTTAAGACACATGGACATGAACTAAAGGGGGGAAGTTGGGTGGGAGGGGGTTTGCAATGTGCAGGAGAATGAAGGGGGGAGTGGGACAACTGTAATGACATAATCAATAAAATATATATTTTAAAAAGTTTCTGTGACATTAAGAAATAATAGGAATAGTTACAGTGTAGAACTTTAGGGCTAGGAGAACAGAAATGTCTCTTCTGTAGATAACTATCTTTCCCTTAGGACGGCAGCTCTTAACTCATCCCTGGATCCCAGTAGAGATTGGACTCCTGACCACAGGATCTCAAGGGCATTGTGATTGAACTGCAAACACTGGGTGCTGTCTGAGCCACCACAGTGTGACATTAGACATGCTCAGTCAGAAGTGCCCATATCCATGAAGAAGGTGAGTATGGAATTCAGCTCGGAGAGAAATAGAGGACACATGTGAATACCCTAGCAGGTGGCTCAGACACCCATGAACACCTGTTCCTCCTGCCCCTTTCTCCACCCATGTCCTGTGAATTTATGATGGTCTAATTATCAGAGGGGAGAAAGTGCAGACCAGGTTTATGTTAGTGTGGGTGAGGAATCCCACCACAGTTCTAATATCTTGGAGGCCACAACTGCCCCCTGGCCATTCTGTGCTCCTCTTGCCATAAATAGGATGAAAAAAGAGGTCACTCTGCTGGTTTCCAGACAACACCTGACTAGCAGAGGGTGGCTGGGTTGCTGGGTCAAGGAAATCTATGTTTGGGAGTCAGGAGAGTTCTTGGAGGAACATCTTCATACTTCTCTGGCCAGAGGCCCTCTTCAGGGGAAAATAAACTCTATGGAGACAAAACCATCAAGCACTCACTTCCCATAAGAACAAAGATTTGCCTCAGAAAATTTTCCAGAGTAGGTGCTGGCTTGTGGGGAGAGAATAAGGAATGGGTGGTGGAAGAAGGCAGCTCTGATTACACCTCCAGGACATGTCCAGCTTTCCACCCCACCTTCCTCTCATCGTTGTAGATAAAGAACTGGTCCTCAAATTGACATTAGCACACCATGTTATCACAATTATGTAGTGGAGAGGAATTCTCTCCTATGTTGAAGTCTTTGACTTTCACCCAAAGGACAGAATGTAAAAAGGAAAAGGGTGGATGGTGATGGACACTCTGTTTCCTTTTTCAGACTCACTCTCTCTCTGCTATTCTTCGCTCCTGGGGACATATCTCTTGGGACTGTGTCAATGGAAAATCCTGACTTCCACATGGGTGCAGTCAATGGGAGCCCCAACAGGAAACCAGAGGGTGGATACTGAGTGGGGCTGGGACACCCATTCCACAGCTCCCTGCCTCTCATATTGCTGTACACTGGTCGAACTTCTCAGCCTGAGGCCAGAGCTCCTACCAGGAAGCCCTCTCTAATCTCCTGCCCCACCTTGGGAACCTAGTGACGGGAAGGACTTCTCTTCTGCCTTTCATGAGTAGGATGGTAACATACCCTGTGACATCGGCCTCAGGAAATTGTGCACACCCTCTTGTTTTTCTACTTCACACAAACTTGTATGTCAAGTGATTCAGGTGTGATGAGTCCCCTGTTTGTGCAGGAAACCTTACTCCTGAATAAATCCTCATTGGTCAAAGTGCTCCTTCACCTCCCAGGTCATGATGATGACCTGCAGCTGCAGAACCCCAAAGGCTCTGCTACCTCCCCAGCTGGGATGGAGACGTGCACCAGACCAGTGAAGGGTGGGCCTGACATGGTGAATCTCTCCCCGATTCCTCTCCTCCCCACCCCAGATCTCTGTGAGCCCTGCCCTCCCCTCCCATAGAGAAACCCCACACTGGGAGAAAAGACAATGCCTTTATTCATCAGACACATGAGGCCACTGTTGGAGTGTCCAGCTCCCACAGGGCCAGTTCAGCTGCTCCCAGGCCCTTCCAAATGTTGCTACCAGGTCACAAAGTGTGTGGTTGTGCATGTGGATGAGAATTCATGGAGAAGATGGTAAAATAACGGGGCATTTGGTTGTGAGGTCACAGGGAGGATTTGGTTTAGGTGTCAGCGGGAGCTAAGAATCACAGGGAAATAGAGTGAACAACGTGGTCATCCCACACCAAAGGGCTAGGGACAGCCCCAGCCCCACCACCCAAGCCAGGTAGGGGGCAGGAGCAGCCCCACTTTGGGGATATTTAGGAGCAGCTCCATTTTGGTGATCTTTATTGACAGCCTGAGGGAATTCAACTGTGTGGAACGGTCCAATCATGTCGGTGTGGTTCAACAAGGAGTTGGAAGATGGGGCCATGCAGCCCTGAATGCTAAATGCAGAAGACAGCCCACCTAGAGAGTGAAGACAGAGTCAGAAGGGTCTCAAAGTAGTGCACACTTAAATTCCTAAGACCGGGGAGTCCCAGACCCTAACACTTCCTTCCTCAGACCAGCAAATCAGGCTCTTCAGCCTCCCCACCTTCAGATCTAAAAATCTGGATCCCCAACACCCTCACTCTCAGACCCATGGGCCAGGATCTCAAGGGCACTCTCACTACTGCAGCAGTGAATCCAGGACCTCAGCCCCTTCATTCTTGGGATCTGGGACTTCAGCACTCACCTCCTTTGATATTGATGTAACCTTTATAACAACCAGTGGTACCTTTAGGGCACATGACATTTTCAGAGAATTTACAGACTTCTCCAAACTTCAAACAGGTGGGACACTGCAGGCCTCCTGGGACAGGGGCAGCTGGGAAGCAAAGGGAACTTTGGGGTGCACAGTTCTCCAAGTTGCAGGCACCCTCCTTGAGCCCAGAGATTCTTGTCTCTGGGGCACCATCTCCCCATGCCCCTTTTCTTCCCCCTTCTCCTGGCTCCCCTACCTGGAGGAGGGAGGGAGTTCAGCAGGACACTGGTGCTGCTGGCACTGTTGCACCTGTTAGAGGAGCAGAAACGGGTGTAGGAGGCCATGAGCATTCCAGGGGGCCCTGAGTGGATGGAGACAGTCTGGTAATTCGGTGTCTCAGTCTTGATGCAGCCTTTGCTCCCCACAATGAGTGATGTGGATCCTGTGGGGGGAGAGTGACAGGTGGGTGAGGTTAGGGGAGGCTCTGAGGGAGACAGGAGACAGGGATTCCTGGATGCTTAGCAGGCAGATGGTGAATGTAGATTCCCTGAGTACAAGAGCATGGGTGATTGCAGGCAGGGCCAAGACTGGAGCCTAAGCCTGGGTCCTCCCCTCAGCTCTGTCCCCTCTCAGTTCTTGTTCAGATACCACCTCAGTAGAGCCTTCCCTGATTTCCCTTTTTCCAAATTCCAGTCTTCACCTACTCTCCCTGTCTCCTTTCTCTTCTGGGTTTTCTGCTTCCCCACTGGTGCATAGAGCTGCAGGAAGGCAGACCCAATAGGATCTACAGAGCCTGGCCCTCAACAGGTGCTCAGTAAGGCTCAAAGTCACTGAAGTTACTGTGCACCAGCTCTGTTCTCAGACCTGCATGGACCATTGGATATATCCTCATGACGTCCCAGCACAGTAGGTAATGTTACTGCCAGTACCTAGCCCCCAGCTTTCAGAAAGGGAAAGAAAGGTATAGAAAGAGGAAGAGTTAGGTGTAAAATTCCAGGCCTTGGAATCAGGCAGGTAGTTCAGGGAACAGAATCTAGGACAGGAGACTCAGGATGCCATGCCATGGTCCCACCCTGGTACACAGTTCACGCACCTACATCTATGAGCAGAAGAGTCTCCTGACACACCTCCTCCAAATCACATGTCACGCTTGAAACTGCATTCCATTCCATGGGTTCCTTAGCCAGATTTTTTTTTAACTGCATTACGACTCCCTTTTCACAGGTCGGAGAAGCTGGAAAGAAGAAATCGCCAGTGTTTGTGTCAGCCCAGGAACAAGCCATGTCTCCCCCTCCAGATCCCGTGTTTGAGCAGGTGATCATTTTCCTCAGTCACACTCAAGTAACCTGGACACAGTCACTTGATCTCAAGTGGAGAAGGGACCTTTGATGTTTGTGCCCGCCCCCATTCCTAACACCACCACTTCTGCTCCATCATCTGCAAGGACCTTGCTGCAAGGGGCTGAAGTCTGCCCCTCCCCTGGGGTGTGGCAGAGAAAGATGGATCTTTTTTAACCTGAGCCATCTCTGCTTCCCTGGTTGGGGCCCAAGGTCCTTATCTGGATAATGAAGAGTATAGACTAACACCTATGTTCTCTTAACTGAGAAACCCTATGTCCCAAACAAAGTTCCTCCAATGCCTAGTGTGCATACCGAGTATTTACTATGTGCCCAGCTGTGGAGACTGCTTTCCGGGGAGTAGCCCATTTGAGGTTCCCAAAGCACTCTCTCATCCAGGTTACCTCATTTTCTCACAGTGACTACAAGAGTAGGTGGTGTTATTTTCTTCCTTCTCCCCATTTTCAAGATGAAAAACAGAGGCAGAGGAGTTGTGAAGTAGATTTCTCAGTGTTCCACCACTAATAAATAGCCAAGCTGGGCTCCCTGAGCTAGTGATGGAGAAGACAGGGTTTGATAACTCTGCTTGGCTACCTTGGCCTCTGAGATCCTCACAAGTCTAGTGTGAAACCCAGGAGCCTAGGCCTTCACCTACAGCCACTGCATCACCAGCAGGGATGTGTCGCATGATGCAGGAACTCCTGGACTGATGACACAGCATCCACCAACATGTGCAACTTTCACAGCAGCCTCATGAAGCAGGACCACTCATTCCCTCACTTCACAGACCACAACATCATGGCTCCTGCTGCCCTCCTCCCAGCCTGGTCCCCACTCTCCCCTCCCCCACCTTCCAGGTGTTGGTCAACAGCAGCTCCTGACTTGCAGTTGCTCAAGTTCAGAACATTGCTGTCTTTCTTAACAATCTCTGTCTTATACCCCCTGTTGTACCCGTCAGGATATCCTGTTGGCTTAAGCTGCCAGATAACTCAGGAACCTGGCCATTTCAAACCACCTCGGCTGCTTCCAGCAGCGTTGGAGACCCAGTGGGCTCTGGCTTGCTTCACCCTCAGTCTCCCTCGGGATCCCCACACCCACACCCACCTCCCATTTACTCTATTTCTTACTCAGAAGCCAGAAGAGTCCCCACTAAAAGTAAGTTGATCCATGTAACTCCTCTGCTCAGAGAATTTCAGTAGGTCCCAGCCCCATTTAGGATAAAATTTTATGTCCTAAAAATGGCCTCAAAGGCCCTGCCTCTCCATCCCCATGTCCTGGTCTGCTCTCTTTTGAACACACTTCTGGAGCCACACTGGCCTCTGAGCTCTTTCTTGCACACCCAGCAGACCCCCACTCACACCAGGGCCTTCACATGTGCTCCCCTGCTCCCCATGTCTGGAATCACCCACACCTCCTTGAGTTTGGTGAAAGAGGCTCATAGAGGTGGTGATCCTCCAAAGCTGGTTCAGTGGCACAACCCAGATGGGATCCCACATCTCCCTGATTGAGACCTAGGCTCTTCACTGCTGTGCTCCTCCCAACTGTGCAGACCCACTGCCCTCACTGGCACCACAACCCAGTTCCTAAGGGTGGGCGGCAGTCAAGGCCATTCAAATTCCTGCTCTTTGCTCTCCTTCAGTGGGTTCCTGCCATGGCCTGTTTTGGGCAACCTGTGCTCTTGCACCCAGCCTTCCCCCAGCCCCAGGCCTTTATGGGAGCTGTCTGTCATGCTGGAGTGGCTTTTTCCCTCCATGACATCTTGTTGTACCCCAGCTTCTGATGCCTGTTCTTACCACTGCTCAATAAATGTGTGTTAAACTGCTTCACTGAACCAAAACAGGAAAGGCAAACCCATGTCCCAAGATCTGAATTCAATGTTAAAAGCTAAGAGAATAAGTTTATGTATGAGGAATATTCATCTGTGGGACAATAGCTATATTTTAGGTGGCAAGTGTGTGGTTTGTGTATCTACTGTGTAAGGTATCTGGGAAAGTAAGTGTATGTGTGTGGGTATATGAAGTGTGTGACATGTACATGATATGTTTGTGTGGTATGTCTAGAGTGTGTAGTAGGTGGTATGTGTGTATAAGGTATGCTATGTGTTAGTTACATAAGTGTGACATGATACCAGCTTCTGTTTGACTTATGTATGGCATGGGATGTATTGTGTGATTTGTGTGTTGTGTGTGGTGTGTGGTGTATGAGGTTTGTGGTATGGGTCAGGTATTAGAAGGCATATGTGTGCTGGTGTGCTGTGCCCACAGCGTGGTGAGTCTGCTTACGTCTGTTGTGTGTATTGTGTGCTACATGTCTGTGTGGTACAGTATGTCCCATGAATTACACTAGATTTGTTTCAGAAATGACTTCTGAATTATGAATGTTACCTAGTCCCCAAAAATGAAGGCCAGACAATTAAACAACATAATCAGAAAGAGAGATTCAAACCATCCTTCTATGGACAAGACCTGTCCATGGCTCCCTCGCCTGCAGCAGAAAGGCTAACCCTTACACTGGGCTTCGTGGATACTTGACCAGCACCAGACCCCAAACCTCCCTCCCCACTCCCACACCAATATTTATTCCCAAGATACGCCAGGTCATGTCCAGCCTCCCTGGCTTTGCACCACTGATCCTTCTGCTTGGAATAGCTCTCCTGAGATTGTCCACACCCACTTTGTCTACTTGAACAACTGGTAATCACCCCCCAGTCCCAGCTTTACCCATCCTCTTGACAAGAACTTCTCAGACAGAGCTGAGGAGCCCTTTCTGAAAAACAGCAGGCTCATTCCCATCTCGAGGCCTATACACATGCTGTTTCCTCTGCTTGTTCATGTCTTCTTCCTCTTCTACTAATAAACTGCAGCTAATCTTTAAGACAAGACTCAAGGACACCTCCTCTGTGAAGACCTCCTTGACACCCATCCCAGGACATCACTATTTTCCTGCTCACAGCTCCCCTAGGTCCCTTCACCACAGCCCTGTGACCATCTGCATTTGTGATGTCTCATCTCCTTGTCCTGGATGTCCTTTAGGACAGGGACAGGGTCTGAGTCCTCTGCAGTCCCCGTGAGAGACCTTAAAATCCTACACAAACTGACTTTTCATCATATACTGCCCCTCGTGCTGCCTCAGGCTATAAACATTGTTGTTGGTGACATCCAGACCTTGTATTCAACAATCCCAGTCTAGCCAGAGGGATCCAAGCACTGAGGACTGTTTGCTGAACCCACTCAATGTTCTCCTTGAAGCTTTAAGGGCTGGGTGCCATGGGCAGAGAAGGAAATTGAGATTCAGACAAGAAAGGTCCTCTTCCCATTCTGCTCAGTCCCCACTCCTTCCCAGGCTCCTGTGCTGCTCACTGAGACACTCCAGGCCATTGTCAGTCTTCCCAGTGTATGCTCAGGCTGCCTTTGTGTGAGTGCATAAGGACACTTTCAATGTCCCTGCTTGGTTCCTGCTTTCCCTTTCACAGCTGAAGCATCCACAGTTTTCTCTGACATCCTTCCTCTTTAGCAGAGCTGCTGGGGTGTTCTAGTACCATGGATTGGGTATGGATGAGAATGGGGGAGGTAGGCTGGTTGAGAAAAGGTGAAACACCCAAGATGACCCAAGGACAAAAGTTTGAGGGAACAGAACTGAAGGCAATGAGTCACTCCCAGCATGAGAACCAGGCACTCTGCACTCACTTCTGCAACCAGTGGATAAAGCAGAATGCAAAGCACTCGGCCTTGTGTGCCACTTTATCTTTATCCCTGCTCCCCACTTTCTCCCACATGGACAGTCTGCCCTCACTTGGTTTGTCAGTCCCCGTGTCACTTAAAACACCCACCAGTGAGTCCCTCTCCTATATCTGTCCCCTAGAACATGCACCCTGTTCTTCCCTTCAGGAGGACACCTCCTACCAGCATCCTCACCCCTAAGCACCTGCCAGGACAATCCCTCAAATGGCGAGTGCATGAGTAATAAACTGCTTAATTATTCTGGGTGCTAGTGTTGGTGGGATGTGTTGGATGCTGGGCTTTCACAAGGGTCATTGTGTTCCAAGGCTGGGGGCTGGGAAAAATATTACATTCCAGGTGTGGGACTCACCTTTTACACCACATTTTTCACTCACGGACAAGGGCCCAATCTCCCGAGTCTCATTAAGCAGGTTGCAGGCTGCTTGGGACATGCATCCCTGGACTCTCAGTGTGCTGCCGATGCCCCCTGTGGGAAGGGCCCAGGCAGAGTGAGACAGGGTGACATGCCACCACTGGGACCATACAACCCTGAGAAGCCAGGCCCACCCTCCTCCAAGTCCCAAGACTTAGCTACCCTCCCTGACTTCAGTGCCTACAGGGACCTTCATGTCCCAGCTCACCTCCGCGGAACTGGAGGATCCCATTGTAGCAGTGGGAGTGCCCAGCAGGGCAGGTCACTTCTGTTGCAGATTCACAGCCTTCTGTAGACAAGCAGACTGGGCACCGCACGGACCCTGGGACTGGGAGGTGAGAGGGAAGAAGGGAAGACTGAGCTGCCTTGGTATTTGGATCTGGTGCCTTTTACCTGCCCCTTTTGCTGCCCCTTCAGACAACCTCCTCATTCTCCCCAGACTTGCCCAGTTCAGGTTTCTCTCATGTAGGCCTGGGGTACAGGAAATTAGATTCATTTATTTCCTGAGAGAGCAAGGGGGACATGAGATCGGGGAGGGGCACCAGTGACTGACACAAGAGGGGTGCCCTGGGAGGAAACAGGGCAAAGTTCACCCACATTTCCACTACACAGTCCCAGCAAACAGCATGACTAAAAGAAAGACAAAAGCCAGAGCATCACCTCAAACCCAGTTTAGGATACAGAAAAGGACAGTGAAAACTGACAGGCCTATTTCACTTTGGAAGAGAATTACCAAAACCCTAAATGAAACATGAGTGAACCAAGCCCAGCAGCATGGAAAAGGGAGCACAGCCCAGGTCCAGGCTGTCTCCAGAATCTGAGGTGCAGTCTGGTTTGCTGCCCCAGGACTGTGAGAGGAAGCTGTGCCAAGGGAGGGAGTCCTGGGGAGTGTGGACAGGTCAGGTGACCGGGAGGGGTCTGAGTGAACAGTCCCTCTGCTCTCCCTCCGCACAACCCCTCTTCTCTCCTCCTCCTCCTTTCCCTCCTTGTCTCACCTGAAGGAGGGGGTGGGGACCAGAGAGGGCGGGTGGTAGAGAGGTCATTGCAGAAGTCCTCATGGCGACACACACGGGTGTAGGAGACAATAGAGAGGCCAGGGCCTGCCCGGTGCTTGGTGACACGGGCCTTTTGATCCTTCTCCTGGGTACAGCCCTTGGTGAGTACTAGAAACACTTGGGGTCCTGGAAAACAGAAGAGGGAAGCCAGGTGAGAATGAGGATGCAGAGGACCTACAGGGAGGGTGTGCCTCATGGCTGGGGTGAGAGGCTGGAGAGGAGGCACTTGGGCTCCCAAGAAAGAGGGCACAGCTCCTGGTACAAAGGAGGGGTTCTCCTGAGTCTGTCCACAGAAGGCAAGCAGGACTGGTCAGGAGGAGGGAGATTCCTGTACAGGTCAGGGTGTAGGTCACACTTGGGGTCTTTGGGACCCTTCTCACCATTCTCAATGAGCATCACTGTTTCTTGGCAACCCCAGCCCTTGTTGCAGATCTTCTCGCCAATGGTCCACTCCAAGGGCATATCTACTGCATTACTCACAGCCACTCCTGTTCCTGACTGACAGGTCAGGGCCTGAGCTCCTGAGATGAGAACGGAAAATCCATCTTAGCTCATCCACCCTCCCACACCCCCCTGCCCTCCCTCCTCCCCCTTGCTCCCGGAAAACACCCCCCTAATGAGGAGTGTCTAAGGGGCAGCAAAAGGGGCAGGTAAAAGGCACCAGATCCAAATACCAAATACCAGACCCCTCCCAAGTTGGGGTCATCACGCACAAGGATGAGACCCAGGAGGACTGGCAGCAGAGCCAGGCTCATGGTCAAGCTGATGGTCTCACTCCTGCTCTTATTCCCAGGAAACTGAGCTTTTTTATATCTCCCCTCGCCAAGGCAGCCAGGAAAGGGTGGGGAGTGAAAGACCTTGCCAAAGTTGGCCTGCGCCCACTTCCCTACTCTCACCAGGTTGAGGCGGAGAAACCTGAGGCCTTCTTCTTCCCTAGGACCCAGGGGTCCTGCCTCCCAACCTCCTTCTCTCTCTGACCCAGAAGACTAGGCCTCCCTCTATTTTTGGACCCATGAGTCCAGATCCCAGACCCCTCAACAGTTGAAAACTGAAGCACCTAGCCCCAGCCTCCAATGGTCCAGATCACCAGCCCTCTTTCTTCCTGAGCCCAGCTGTGCAGGTCCCCAACCCCACCTTGTTTCAGGGTAGTTTGTGAAGGCAGTTTCCTCATTTCTCAGGGCAACCTGGCCATCTTCTGGCCCCTAGTGGGGAAATGCCACAACTCCCTGTGAAGATGTGAGTGGTATCTGGCTGGTCCCTAAGGTTTGTCTACCCTGAAGTTTATACCTCTGGTTTATACCTCTCAGATTTATACCTCTCTTTTCTATCTCTTTCCTTCCAATAAGGCTTTCCTTTTTATTTCCCCTTTTATGACCTTCCTCATGCTTTTTCTTCTCCTTCTCCTTCTGATTCTGATTCTGATTCTTTTCCTTCTTCTGTTCTCTCCCTTCCCAGTACATGACAGGCTTAGAGTGCCCAGTTCCTGCCACCCAGGTGGAAGCTGAGGTATCAAGGGGAGAGCAATAGCTATGAAAGAACTAGGATATTCCCCGACAAAGCAAGTTTCTCTGCTAAAAACAGATGGGAATAGTGGTGAGCTAGAAAAACAGCTTTCAGAAAAATGGCATCAGTAAACCCTGCCTCATAATGTTGGCCTATTACTGTGGTGCAAATACCCTCACCATGTCTGATTTTGAAGCTACAAACAGTTTAACAAGCAACTTGACAAACCCTGAATATCTAACAATACGTTTTACTGGCATATACAAATCAGTTCTAACTCACTGGGTAGGAAGGAGATGGGAAAGGATATGGAGCATCTGTCAGTGAATGTAAGGCTGCAGAGGGAGAAAAGAAAGGGCAGGAACAATAGTAGAGGGTGGCTATGGTGGTGCTCAAGTGCCGTGAGTGGGAAATGGATCACGGTGGGTAAGATAAGGTGGTTTGGAAAAAGTGAGACACCTGGGCTCCCCAAGGTCAAGAGTATGGGGGCATAGAACTGAAGGCAATGAGTCACTCCCAGCATGAGAACCAGGCACTCTGCACTCACTTCTGCAACCAGTGGATAAAGCAGAATGCAAAGCACTCGGCCTTGTGTGCCACTTTATCTTTATCCCTGTTCCCCACTTTCTCCCACATGGACAGTCTGCCCTCACTTGGTTTGTCAGTCCCCGTGTCACTTAAAACACCCACCAGTGAGTCCCTCTCCTATATCTGTCCCCTAGAACATGCACCCTGTTCTTCCCTTCAGGAGGACACCTCCTACCAGCATCCTCACCCCTAAGCACCTGCCAGGACAATCCCTCAAATGGCGAGTGCATGAGTAATAAACTGCTTAATTATTCTGGGTGCTAGTGTTGGTGGGCTGTGTTGGATGCTGGGCTTTCACAAGGGTCATTGTGTTCCAAGGCTGGGGGCTGGGAAAAATATTACATTCCAGGTGTGGGACTCACCTTTTGCACCACATTTTTCACTCACGGACAAGGACCCAATCTCCCGAGTCTCATTAAGCAGGTTGCAGGCTGCTTGGGACATGCATCCCTGGACTCTCAGTGTGCTGCTGATGTCCTCTGTGGGAAAGGGGCAGGCAGAGTGAGAGAGGGTGACATGCCACCACTGGGACCATCTAATCCTGAGAAGCCAGGCCATCCCATTCCAGGTCCCAGAATTTAGCTGCCTCTCTGCCCTCAGTGCCTACAGGGACTCCTCATGTCCCAACTCACCTCCTGTGAGCTCGAGGATCCCATTGTAGCAGTGTGAGTGCCCAACAGGGCAGGTCACTTCTGTTGCAGATTCACAGCCTTCCTTAGACAAGCAGACTGGGCACCGCACAGACCCTGGGACTGGGAGGTGAGAGGGTGGAAGGGAAGACTGAGCATTCTCTGCACTTGGATCTAGTGCTCCCTACCTTTTGCTGCCCCCTCAAACAACCTTCTCAGGCTGCCCAGACCTGCCCAATTCAGGTTTCTCTCATGTAGGCCTGGGGTGCAGGAAGTTGGGGTCATGTGGTTGGGGAGAAAACAAGGGTGAACATGAGATCTGGGAGGGGCACCAGGGACTGATACAGGAGGGGTACCCTGGAGGAAATAGGGCAGTGTTAACCCAGACTTCCACTACGCAGTCCCAGCAGACAGGATGCCACAAAGAAAAGAGATGGCAGTGCATCTCCCCAAACCCACTTTGGGATACAGATGAAGACAGTGAAAAGTTACGGGACAAGTTCACACAAAAGAGGAAATACCAAAACACTAAATGATACCCTGGCTGGTGTAGCTCAGTGGATTGAGCGAGGGCTGGAAACCAAAGGGTTGCCAGTTCAATTCCCAGTCAGGGCTCATGGCTGGGTTGCGGGCCAAGTCCCCAGTGAGGGCTACATGAGAAGCAACCACACACTGATGTTTCTCTCCCTCTCTTTCTCCCTCACTTCCCATCTCTCTAAAAATAAATTTAAAAATTCTTAAAAAAAAAAAAACTAAATGAAACATGAGTGAACAAAGATCGCCAGAGTCTGAGGTGCAGTCCAGCGTGCTGCCTCAGGACTGTGAGAGGCAACTGTGCCTGGAGAGGGAGTCCTGTGGGGTGTGGACATGCTGGGTGGCTGGGAGGAGTCCAAGCGAACAATTCCTCCTCACTCCCCTCCTCCCCATGAGAGAAGAGCCCCTCTTCTCTCTTCCAGCTCTTTTCCCTCTGTCTCACCTTCAGGGGGCTGCAGTGTCCAGAGAGGGAGGGTGGTGGAGAGGTCATTGCAGAGGTGTTCATGGCGACACACATAGGTGTAGGAGACAACAGAGAGGCCAGGGCCTGCCCGGTGCTGGATGATACGGGCCTCTTGATCTTTCTTCTGGGTACAGCCTTTCATGAGCACCAGGAGCACTTGGGGTCCTGGATGTCAGGTGGGGGAAGCCAGGTGAGGATCAAGAATCTAGGGTCCTAGAGGGAGGGTCTCTGGCTGGGGTTAGAGGGTGGGGAGGAGGTGCCTGGATTCCCAAGGCCACCTCCTAGAGTTGGGGACAGCTCCTGGTATGAGGGAGGAGGTCTCCTGGGTGTTCACACAGAAGGCAGGCTGAACTGGTCAGGAGGAGGGAGATCCCTGCACACGTGAGGGTGGTGGTCACACTTAGGGTACACAGGATCCTTCTTACCATTCTCAAGTAACATCAGGGTGTCTTGGCAACCCCAGCCCTCTTTGCAGTCCTTCTGTCCAGCAGTCCACTCCTGGGGCAGTTCTGTTACATTCATCACTTTTGCCAGTGTTCCAGACTGACAGGTAAGGGCCTCCATTCCTGAGATGAGGACAATAGATCCATTTAGCTCATCCTCCCTGGAAATCCCATCTCAAGCAGGAGTCTTCACCCACAGGGCAGCACAAGAGGGAAGCCCAGGAGGGCTGACAGCAGGGCTGGGCTCATGGTCAAAGCTACTATAACTCTCTCACGTCTGCTCTTTCTCCCAGGAAACTGAGCCCTTTTATATCTCTCTCCTCATGTGAGGCAGCCAGGAAGGGGTGGGAAGTGGAGGACCTTGTTAAAGGAGGTGTGCACCCATCTCAGTCTCACCAGCTTGAAGGCTGAGTAACCCGAGTTGTTTCTCCCCACTGAGATCCAGAAGTCTACCACGGACCCCTCAGCAGATAAATGCTGTGGCATTCTGACCCCCAGCCTCAATTGGTCCAGATCCCCAGCCCTCTTTCTTCCTGAGCCCAGCTGTGTAGGTCCCTATGCTTATACTGTCCCGGGGTAGTTTGTGAAAGCAGTGTCATCATTTCTCCTGGCAACCTGACCACCCTCTGACCCAAGGTGGGACCCCAGTGCTGTGAGGACATGGAATGGTGAGTCTTCAGTTGTCTCTATGGTTTTTCTACCTTAACCTCTGCCACCCACAGGCTTATATACCACTCTTTTTTTATCTCTTTCCTTCCAATATGACTTCCCTTTTTATTTCCCCTTACATGACCTTCCTCACTCTTTTTCTTATCCTTCTCCTTCTCATTCTGATACTTTCTCTTCTATTGTTCTCTCTGCTCCCAATACAACACAGGTATAGAACCACCAGTTCCTGCTGGCCAGAAGAAAATTAAGGCATGGCAGGAGGAGAGCAAATAGCTAGGGAAGAACTAAAATATACCTTGACAAAGCAAAATTTCTCTGCTAGAAACAAATGAGAACAGCAGTGTGCTAAAAACACAGCTTCTCAGAAATACGAAAACAACACACCCTGCTCATAATGACGGCCTATAACAGTAGTGCTAACACCACCACACCTATTTTGAAGCCACCAACAGATTAACAAAGAGCTTGCCATATCCGAAATAATTAATAAGTTTCACTAGCATATATAAATTAGTTACAGCCCACTGGGTAGGAGGGAAGCCAGAAAAAATACAGAGCATCTGTCAGTGAGTGCAGAGGAGAGAAAAGAAAGAGAACAACAGTAGAGGAGAAAGATAAGTGAATATATAACTTTCAACGGTATGTGTATTTTTGACATTTTTATACATTCTGTTTTTATTTTGAGTGCAACTTTCAGCTGTGCCACACAGACATATTACTATATTCTATCTCCCACTGAGTCTGCACCACTAACTGGCATCAGGGGTGCTTAGTGGATATTTACTGATTGAGAGACTGAGTGAATGAATGAAAGAATGAAGAGGAGGTTAAGATGGGACTACACTTGTGTAGGTTGTACACTTTTGAAACACCATCCCCTTCCCACCAATTCACATTGTTATTGTGTGAATGGTGCCCTCTGAAGCTGAGAGGGGCCTGAAGCAGGGTCCCTGGAGGAAGAGGGGAAATAAAGTGGGCAAAGGGACACATAGGGTAACAAGTCATCCATTAAATGTCTTATTTTCATAAACAAATATTTACTAAAGCTGAACTTGTACCAGGCACTGACCTCATTGCTGGGGATACAAGAAGACCAACAAGAATGAAGGCCTCCCTTTTCTTGTGGAGCTCACAGCCTAACAAGAGCAACAGACATGAAACAAATTCAAGAGCACAAAAAAAACTCTTAGATTATACTGGTTGCTAGGACAGTAATATGGAAGTAAGTGACTGAACTGGGAGCAAGGAAGGCCATCCTGAGGAGGTGACCTTTGTGCTAAGGGAGGAATAAAAGGAAAGATCCTGCCATGGAAAGACAGGTGGGATGAGTATTCCAGGCAGAAGGGAGAACATTTGCAAATGTCCTTGGGTGGGATCAAACTTGCCTTATGTGAGGGTTAGAAAGAAAGCAGGGCTGGGCTTGTCATGGCTACAGAGAGAGTGATAGACGACGGGAGTGGAAAGGCTGGCAGGGGCCCAGCCAGGTAGACTAACTCAGGACAGGAAGGCAACCTTCCCAGGATTGTGCATCATTCAAATGGCAAATGGCAAGGCTGGGTGTGGGGTTCATAAGTAAAAAGTCTAACAGTCCTTGGTGTAAAATTTTGTTGACTACCTGGCCTGATCCTGTTGCTTCTGTAACTGTGGGATCTCAGGACTTTCACTTCCCCTCTCTGAACTTCATGCTTCTCCTCTATAAGGTGTGCGTAATGACAATCTGCACATCAAGGATGGAGGGTTATCCATAAATCCAAAGTGGACTCAAAACACATGATAAAAATCGGTAATATTGTGAGTCCTTACACAGTCCAAGCTGTAGTCCAAGCACTTTGTATATTTCAACTAATTCATTATATAGGTAAAGAAACAAACTTCCAGAAAAGTAACATGACTTGTTGAAGTTCAGAGTATGGCAAAGATAACTACCTATCAAAGATCTTTATTCCCTTCAGGGTGTAGCTCTCTTACTAAGTGAAGACTGGACAGTTAAGGACTACAGTTCCCAGCCACAATCTCCTGTAGGTGGACCAAGTGACTAGTGTCTACCAATGGAACATGAGCAGAAATGATTGATGTCACTTCTGATCATAAGCAATTAAAAAGCACGAGTGCCATTTCCCCACCTCTGTGTGATTGTCAAGGGTGACCTTGGAGCCACACTCAGATTATGGCACAGCCTCCAACAGCCTCAGTCTCTGAGAGTGTGAGCAGAGCAGAGCAATCCTCTCTCCCTCAAAATACTCCACCAAGTAGACGTGCTGCAAGTGAGAAAGAAATATCTATTATGTTAAACCACACAAATTTAATTTAATGATGTATTTGTTGTAGCAACTAAAATTACTACAACTGCTAGTAGTGCTACATACTGCTAGGAAGTGCTTTCATTGAGACAAATGCTCTAGAAGCAGAGCCTGAGATGGAGTCTGAGTTTCTTCTTCAGATGCTTTCCTGAGGGAGCATTTTCAAGAGAAGGGGAGTGATGGAAGCAGGCTTGGAGGGCAGGGAGACTGAGGACAGAAGGGTCTTGGCTAAAATCATACTTTACTTCGATCCTACACATATCATCACAGAGTTGGACCAGCTGTGAAAAAATACCACCCTTTTACAATCCCATTCCAGTCATCCGTTGGCCAAGGTGTGCCCCCTGAGTGGAGAGAGTGAAGGGTGTGTTGTTACTAGCTCCCACTGAGTTAAGTCGATTCTCGAGAGAACAGGCAGCTTTGAAATGTTGTCAGCCCAAGCCAGCTGGACAACGGCATGTGGGTAGGACATAGTACATCCACTCAAGAGCTGGGAACTATTTGGCCCCAGGAGCAGGCTCCTAACCATGATACCTGCATAGGGATCTTCTGTGAATTCCTAGGAATACCAAATTCATCACAAGAACAGAAATACAAACAATGACAAACACTACCGTACATTAGCAACTGTATAGCGTGCCATAGTTAAGAGCGCTAATGCATTCACCCAGCACTGCCAGGACAGCTTTCTTTCCTTTCTTTCCTTTCTTTCCTTTTCATTGGGTGCAACAATGGCAACAGCTCCCTGTTCTATAGAGAAGAGGATCCAGACACCAACAGAGGGAAAGAAGCCAGCCAAGGCCTCTAGGTCAGGCTGTGGCCAAGGAAGAGTCAGATCTGGGCCCCTCAGCTCACACTTTGGCAAACTCATTGTGCTTTCTCCTCCTTCACTGGCCACTGGGCTTGGCATTTCCATGGGGCTGCCCCCACACTTCTCTCCAGCAAACACACTTCTCCCTGAGACTCCCTCAGTGACTCAAGGAGCAAGTACCTCTCCTTGGGGTTTCCCCAGGTCCAGCCCCTACCTCTGTCACTGCCCTAATCTTCCTGGGCAGTGACTGGTCCCATCTGTCTTCTCATCTCTAAACCCTGAGTGAGACCCCACACAGGACCCAGTCCACAGAGGAGGGCTATGGAGGGTCCAGAAGGTCCACCTCTCTTCAAAGGGATATTTCTTTCTGTTCCCTAATGTTTTTATTTACAAAAATATCCAATCTACCAAAAAGGTGAAGAATGCTCATATCCTTAGATTCACCAATTGTCCACATTTGGCTGTATTTGTTCCCTCACACAATTTTAAAATATTTTTCAATATTAAAAACAAGTTGTAGACAGCATGACTCATTGCTAAGTGCTTCAGCCTGCACCCTCTTAACAATAAAACCCTTGTTATGAAACCACAAGAACGGTTCTTACCCCTGTAATTTACATTAGTACAATACTATCAAATATTGCATCCATTTTTAATTTTCCCCCACTGTACCATTAACATCCTTTACATTGCTTTTGTTTTCGATCAGGGAGGTAATTCAGGGTACCGCACTGACTACTGGCTCTTATTGTCCCTGTGGCATCATTTAATCTAGAACTGTCCCCAGCCTTTTGCTCCCTGTGAAAGTTACATCCATTTTAAAAATAATGTTTTAAATATATTTACTGGTGATCCAAGATGGTGGAGGAGCAAGTGAAAGCTACACTAACCTCCCAGGACCAATCTGGAATTACAACTAGATGGTAGAGAAAGCATCTGGAATAACCAAGTGAACAATAGCTGGAGAGAAGCCTTATAACCAGGACACACAGAAGAAACCACTTTACCTCAACATTACTGGTACAGAGCTTGGAGGACACACAAGAGGGCTGGCTGAGCTCCCATGGGCGGTAGTTTAAGTGCCCTGAGAAGTTTGGGTCAGAACTCCAAACTGGGCTTTCCAGTCCACAACACCAGAGCTGGAAAGGAACGAACTCTGCTATACATTCTCTTACTCCATTTCTCTTTCTGCCCTCCCATTTTTATTATGATGCAAATTTTACTGTCTTTCTCATTTTGTCATGTCCCTATTCCCTACTCTAATTATTGCTCCTCCATCTACCCTCTCAAAATCATTATTCTTTCAGTTAGTAATTTCGTGTTTGTTTTTTCTCTCTTATAAC